GGAGACAAGATTATGTACATAGGCATGCTCAAGCATCTTAAGATTGAAAATCTGCTCCATGTGAAATGCCTAAAGGCTTTGGTGTTTTGCTAGCTCTAAGTAAACCCCAACAGGGACTTTTGGGTGGGGAAACAGGAAATGGAGGAAAAGCAGGGTTTTCTCTTAGGGGAGCCTGATTCTAAAAATATGAAAATATTTTCTCATGTTCTCTTGAAATCTGCCTGCTGTCCCTCAATGTCTTCATCCAGTTTTTGTGATATGGTGTTGATTAGCTCTCTGACCTTGAGTTCTGTTTTCCCAGAATGTATGACTTAGGCTCCAGAGTGGGTGGAAGGTTAGGGAAATTTCAATGGCTGATGAGATGTCCAACATTTCAGTCCTCTGCCTGGCCCAAGGACAGCTTCCTCTAGGCCAGCGGTTCTCAACCTGTGGGTCACTACCCCTTCGGCGGTCAAATGACCCTTTCACAGGGGTCGCCTAAGACCATCTTGCATATCAGATATTTACATTATGATTCATAATAGTAGCAACATTACAGTTATGAAGTAGCAACGAAAATAATTTTATGGTTGGGTCACAACATGAGGAACTGTATTTAAAGGGCCAGAAGGTTGAGAACCACTGCTCTAGGCCATTATGTGCTTCAAATCATTAACCCAAGTGTATGGTCTTCCCATGATACAAGTGGGGAAGTGGCAAACCCCATGGAATCACACACGCCTGATGTTTCCAGGCTTTCAGCTTGTGCTGCCCTTAGCATCCCTGTCAGCTAGAGTCCTTTCCCCATTTCTCCCTCTTCAAACAAATCCCACCCCAGTCCCCCTGGCATAGCACAACGGTCCCTCCTTGCAATACTGATAGCTCTCATTATCTGGACCAATCAATCCTAGATTAATTAGGTCAGCCTCTCAAATCTCTTGTATTGAACTGCTGCTCAGAATGTATAAGGCCATTTACCTTTTCCCGGATGTAAGCCTGTTTTCCTAACTAGACTGTAAGATCATTGAGGGCAAAGGCAAGGTTATTTTAAGACTTTTACCCCTCAAAGCCTTTAGTTCAGGGCCAGAGGACAAGGTGTATGTCACTGCAACCTCCCATTCTTGTAGAGTTCAGAAAAAAAAAATGAATCAGATCACAGGCATGAGATTAAGCCAGTCCTTACTTAGGAGGATTCATGGAGCCTGAGATTGGTTTAGCAGTGATGAGACCCACACCCTACCCCATAGGTTCCCTTAATTGCCCTGAGGAAGAGCAGTTGGTTCATCTTCCTGAGGTCCTTTGCCCTTGCTTTTCCAAAAAGGGGGCTAAAATCATTCTAGTTCTACTTCTTAGGTAATCAAAGATCAATGAGACGATAAGGCATGTGAGGATTAATTAGATGAGCTCCCTGCCATGCCCCCAGCCCATTGGAAAAGGATGCCATTATAAAATGTAGACAGGGTCTTATTTAAGAGAAATACTTGAGTTGCCAAAAATACACTGCACAGTGGGGAAAACAAGCCATTAACCAGGAAACCTCAACTCTAAGCATCCCAGTCAGCAGAAAGTGCCCACATAGATGTCTCAGTCCCTCCAGGTTACCTCTTGTTTGTGAGCAGGGGAGGGATTTTGGAGCACAGTCCCTGTCCCTGGAGGGGATCTCTTTGATGTGAAGCTCCCCAGTGGCTAGCCTGGGGATCAGAAGGAGTTGATGACGCAGGGTTGTTCTTTGCCCTCTGGTCTTGCTCAGTAAACAACCTGTTAGGAGGCCAGCAATACCCAGAGGATGATCTTTAAGGGCCAGATAGGGGAAGATGCCTCCATCCTTGAGAGTGGCCTAGTGCTAACAGAGCAGGGACCCTCCTCCCGCCCCAGCCATCCCCTTCTCTCCTCCTGTTGTGCTCACACTGCAGCACACATCACCCCATTCCAGGTGACAAGCTGGCCCCTTGTTTGGTGAGGAAGGAGAGGCCAGAGTCAGGGATGCTTCTGTCTTCTACCTGCCTGCAGCTCAGCTGTCAAACCCTTTGAGGCAGCCTCCCTCATCAGGGAAGACCCTGGTCTGACATTTGCTACCTTTTCCTCAAACATCTCACAGTATCCATGCTCTGCACCTACCCAAATCATATCCCTCCTCAAGAAGCAAAGCATGCATCTTTCCCCAAAGTAGCAGCAGCAGTGACACTGGTAAAAATCTCGGAACACTGTGGTAGCATTGCTTGGTCATGCCCCCAATGCTGCAAAGCATCGTACTCTGGCTGAGCGGGAACTCGGGGAGTCCTGCCTTAAACAAATAACATACCCACAACTGTGTGAAGTCAAAAAAGAAAACACCAACTTCAGCATCCCTTTGCTGTTGCCTGATGTCATCAGACTGCCCCCCAGGGGATTCTGTGAAATACTTGAGCTGCTGGGTTAATACTGGCATTGCATGCATTCTAGAGAGCCTGATCAGAGAGTATTACTTCCACATACCCATGTCTGGCGAAGGACAGAGGCAGAAATACTTGACTGACAACATGCCTTTCAATCTCCTGATGGGTCTATGCTGACATATTATTGTCCCTGCAGGAGAAGGCCCAGATTACCCAGCTATAAGCAGGTCTGTTTTAGTTGCTCCCCTTTTCACAAAACATTTCTTCCTGCTTAGGGCATGGGCTTCCAGGGCTAGGAAGAGTGCACACACAGTTCTTTACAGAGGGGTCTGTTCAATCACGTTACAATGCATTAGCTTGATTATTCGATAATACTTGGCTTAGGTCTATATACCCTGGATAAATATACCAGGCATTGGGACTGCTTGGTGAGGAGGAAACTCCTCTGGGCTGGAACAGCAGCTCCCAAGTTCAGGCTCCTACTAGGGAAGGAACCCTCAGCCTGGAGCCTGGGCAGCAAGCTGCACCTGCATGGTTTTTCTATTGGCAACCCGCTTCCTGCATACAGCTGTGAGCACACACACACACACACACACACACACACACAAAGCATTAGACTGTATACTCAGGCGATCACAGAACCAGGGAGAGAGATGGCTAGATAATGTCAGCACACCCCTCCTTCCAATGTGCAGCCAGGCTCAACTCAATCAATGGGCTCCTGCCACCACCCTGGGGAGACTATTTGCAGCCAACGGGGCTCACTCTTCAGAATTTTTTTTTCTTGATTATATGTGCATGGGAGGAAGAGACAGGACTCTACAGGCATGTCACTGAGCTCTAGGAACATGTGAGTATAGATGTATCAGGTAGCATGGCCTCAGCTCTTTGGGGTCCTTCTCAAACATAGTGAACCGCCTACAGTCTCAGCTCAGCAAGCAGAAGTCCTGGGCATTTTCTGCAATTATGCAGCTCGGTTGAATTTTCTGAAGCTAACGGGAGTTGCACTAACTTTGAGGACTTAGCCCAGGCAAAAGCAATATAGGTCAGGCAGCGTGCCCAAGCGGGTGTCAGTCAGGCACACCAGGAAGCAGTAACAGGGCCATCTCTAGCTAAACCCTAAATTGTATTGCTCAGCTCCACCAGACAGAAACTACCAGATGGGATCATTCCTTCTGCCTGCAACTGCCAGGCAACAGGGCAACAGGGTGGTAAGGGGGCAAATGATCCCCTTACCAAGGAACATAGCAGAAAGGGCAAGGAAAAGGGGACAGAGGAAAACCACCCGACCCCTGCACTGTTACCTTGGATCCTTGCAAGAGCCCTTCTGGCTGTATCAGCTGCTCCCCAAATGTCCACCGACTGGGAGGAGACTCCTAAAAGATTCCAGGTTTTTGTGCAACATCTCCAGTGGCAGCTTTCCAAAGTTTCTACTTCATGATTTCTTGTGGCTTTCTCATTTGGGGAAACGCGAATGCCTCTCCTTCAGCATGTGAGAGGGAAAGGAAGTCTTTTTTCAAATTCTCTTGCTCTGGGCTTTGCCTCCGCCGCTGCCTCCGCTAGACCACTTGCCGGCTGCCTTCCGCTAAGCAGCCTGGATCCCTGGCACCCAAAGCAGGTAGGAAGTGGGCTTCAGCGCGCTCGGGTGGGAGAGGGAAGGAAAGTGCAACAGCAAACCTGGAGAGTCCCCTGTCTGTCCACCGAAGAGGAACCCAAGATCTCGCCTTCCTTGCAACTCTAAAGGGATTCACCCTCTTGCTCCCTTGCCCGAAATCACTGCCTAGCACATGGGCAAAGCCTGTTCCGCCGGCTTCAGCGCTCGCTCTGCTGCCCGCAGACCTGTCCCTGAGCTCGCACCGCAGGGCAGGTGCCCAAACCCGGGCCAGTGCGAACGGAGTGCTCAGGCGCAGGGGAGGCGCTGCCCCAGCCCCGCCAGCAGCTTCTGAGGCGGGCGTATTCCAGTCCGGGCTGCAGCCGCGAGCCCCTGCTCTGACTCCCGCTCCGCACCTAAGCAGTGTCACCTGCAGACTCAGACACCAGATGAGTGTCTTAAGATAACAATGCTGCCCGGCCTGCCTCTCTCTCTCTTATGCACGTAGGTCGGCAGCCAATGGGACACAGCGCCATCGTCCCCACGGGCGCCCATTGGCTGGCGGCTTGGCAAGGGGTGGGCTCGGAGTCTCCCCGCTATCTCCTTTGGTCCGCGCCAGGCCGGGCACCAGCTCTGTTAACCCTCCCGGCCCAGCTGCAGGGACTTTTTGGTGTGGATGAGGAGGGCTTGGGCTGGGTGTCTGAGAGTCTATGCAGGCTGAGGAACGGGGAGAAGCTTGGGAGCTAATTAGGTTTTCTTCTCATCTTCCTGAGTTACAATAATCATTTATCCCAGACCATTTTGTTCGCTTAACTAGAATTCCCAGAGATAGGGACCCATTTGACCCATTTGAGTCATTCTCTTTCTAATTTGAGGTTTTATTTCGTTGTTTGTGTATTTTAGCCTCTTGGTCCGGAATTAATTAGAAATGAGCAGCCCCCCCCCCCCCC